GGGTGCTAATTTTTGGGATTTTAAGGCCAACGAGGCCTATATAGTTCATGACACAGACCAAAACACCCAACTCACAAAGCAGGAGCGCAGTTATAGCCATACTTTACAGGACCTTGTGCTGTGTTGGCAGGTAGAATGAATTTAAATAAGGGAGAGGCACATGGTTGGTGTCTGCTTGAGGCTATAAAGCAGTGCTTAAGCTTGCATGTAAGTAAGGAAATACAAGCCTGCAGGAGAAAAATGTGAAGCTGACACAGCGAGGTGGCTGCAGTCATGGCTAATGTAGCATCAGTACAAAGGACATCTGCAAAACAGTGGATGCTGAAGTGAGGCTCAGTGGCACATGGATGTTTTTTTGTTCACTGCTTGTTCAATTCATTCTTCCATGTTGGCTGGTCTCACCTATCCCAAAGATTTCGGGATGCTCCTCTGTCACAGGTTTCCAGAGTGGTTTCAGCTGTGGAGTCACTGTCTACCTTCACCAAGCAGCCACAGCCACCAGCCTGCGATTGCCTGCAACATCCATGTCCCATCCATAACCATGGCCAGCCAGTCTCTTTGTTAAACAGCTTCCCCTTGGACCCACACAATGATTGTTTTCCCATGCCTGTCATGCCTTCTAGCCAGGGGCCCACTTGCCACAGCTAGATCGGGGGCTACCCTAGCTGGGACCAGGAACAACAGCCACAGCTGGCACAAAATGAGGGGTGGTTCAGACAAAGCCAGTGAAAATACTGTGGTTCACACCAGGAAGACAGACCCAGTCCTGTCATACTTGAGCTCTGTGCCATGCTTTAGATGTACACCACCTCTTTTCCCATCTCAGCATTTCTCCAATATCCATTACAGCACAGGTTTCCCCAGGTGGTCTGTGTCCTCTCAAACACCTCAAGCCAGCAGCACCTTGGCCACAGGCAATATTTTTCATTAATTTTGTGTTTGTTTTATTAAAATACTGACAGTAAATACATTAATTAGTAAGATAGAGCAAGTAGGAAACAGGAGGCAGGATGGAAAGGTTTGACCAGCTATAAATAGCAGATAGAATAAACAGACAACGGTGAACCACGGACTGCAAGGCTGGATTTCACATGGAGCCAGCACCTGCTGCCGGGAGACTTCCACTAATTTGTTTGTTTGCTTTTAAAACAAAATTATTTACAATGATGGACTCCAGGCTGAGAGGTTTGCCACTTTTTGGGAAAACATTTTTACTTAATCATCACTGGCAGGTATTTTTTTACCTCCTGTGCACTACTTGACCCACTCTGCATGCCAGAGGCAAAGTAGGGCTTTTGGCATGGACTTCCCTTACCCCAAAACCTTGGGATCTGCTGGCAGCCTGGGCAGCTGCTTGCAGATTTGCAGGACGGGTCACAGCACATTAGCTGAGCCTACAGTGGGTTTAGGATATTTCACAGAAATGGAGATTTTGGGAACAGAGGCATGGTTAGACAGGGGAACACATGGAGAGCTCTGCCTTAGGGGCACACAACAGGAGGGGATCCTGAAAGGTCTGAGGGAAACATGCAGTGATGCTATGGATGAGCCTTGGAAACATTTCTGAGTGAGGGAAAGAAAGGATCTAGAGGATTGTCCTGAAATGTTTGCAGAGCCTTCACAGAAAGGTTTCCCAGGGATGGGGATGGTGTCTCTGAGCAGACCTGGCACAAGCTGCTGGAAGCACATATGGGATGCAGAGGCTCAAGCATTTTGTCTTCCCACAAAGGCAGGCTGTCAGTACGGCTGTCAGAGGGATCACCCAGGACAGCCTCAGAGTGGCTGTCCCAGGTCCCTGTGTGTGGCAGTGGGCATGTTCCTGCAGACACCACACTGACTCCTCCTGGCCATTGATTCCTCCTGGCCTCAGGCCTCCACTCAAAGACCATTGCCTGTGGCTGCTTCCACACAGACTAATCCCACTTTCCCCCATGCAATAAAGGGATGCACGTTTTTCTGGGCCATGCAAACATCACAGCCCCTTAAGAAGGTGACTGTACTCAACACCACCCTGGGACAGTCCCTGTGGGTGAGGTGCTTGGGTGAGTATGGTATTTTTCAGTCAAGCTTCCACCTAAATAAAGAAAAGGCAGGAATTCTTAGCCTGACTAATGCTCTGCCACTGAATTTCAGCCATCACTGCAGTTGAACTCAGTAACTTGTTTTTATCTCCCAGAAAATCAGCCTTTCTGGACACCAAGCCATTAAGAGATGGTGAGCCCCACACAACTTCCACATATAATCTGTTTAGAGTAGCCAGCAGCCCCTGTGCAACATGCCTCATTTCTTATTTACATTTGCCAGGCTGGAAACTGCAACCCCTGTTGCTTGTTATGCCTCTCTCTCCTAGATTAAAGAGACCTAAAATGTCACCCTTTCAGTGTTATAATCAGCCCTCTGTTATTATTGCCTCTCAGTAAATAAAAGGAACTTCCCAGTCATTATTTTATACCCCACAATGACAGTGCTTTTTCTGATCAATTAGTTTTCACTCCTCTTATCTGCATTCAAACCTCACCTCCCTTTCAGTGTTTCCATTGCCTGCTCAGGGACCTTTCCTGTGTCTCCTCTGACCTCTGGGAGAGGAGCTGAGCTGACTCAAAAGGGGAGATTGGTGTGAGGACATCTGATCTGCTAACGGACCAGCCAACCTAATGTTGAACACAGCCAATGCCTTTGTGCATGTCTGAGCCCCCACTGCACATCCTGGGGAGATAACAATGCTGGCTTGCTTGTAAAGTTGCATCCCCTTTAGTACCATCAGCTTGCACAAGCCACATCAGTTTTTGTGACTGGGTACTGATGTATAAGGACTTTCATCCTCTACCTTGTGCACAATTACCTTTCAATAAGAACCTCTCAGTTGAAATCATCTTATTTTACACACTCTCCCTTTCTATCCTGAAATACATAAAAACATCAGGGCAAAATCTTTTTCTGCAGAAACTAACTTGACTGGGGATGCTCTTTACTTTCTCCCCCTCTTTTCCAAATCAGTGTTTTTTCATTCTGGCAAGTACCCACCCTATTCCCACCCCACACACAGAAACCAGAAACTAATCTTAAGTGGGTCAAAACAACTTCATTGTCCATCTTGAGAAAAGTTTAAAATGTAAGCTGTCAACAGCACATAGTTAAAAAGCACATTGAAAGCCATGGAAGGCCAGTTTGGAGTACATGACAGTGAAATCTCTTTTAAAGGATGGTAAGGAACTGTGTTTAGCTTTTAAATATAGCTTTTCAACCCCCTGCTATGGTTTTACAAAGTAGGAACAGCATCACTGTTCCCCAAAATATCCTAAGCACACCATGTTAGAAATCAAGCTTTACTACTTCACTTTGTTTCCTAGCTACCGACATTTTTTTAGCTTAGTAGTAGAGATGAACAGTGAAATTTGGCATTCAGACTGCAACTTCATAAAAGCCTTAAAAAACCTCATGTATATACACATATCTATCTATATATACATCTGTAACAATTACTATTGCTACCATAGCTCTTTTCAGAAATGTTTCAGTTACTACTGCCTCCATCCTGGTTATCCACTCATTCCCATCCTGGGGCCCCTGCCAGCCTAGTCCTGGCTCACCCCCAGTTCTGCTTCTGCCTCACACCCCCCTCCATCCCAGCCCCCCAGCTCTGCCCCTACACCCTTTTCCCACCCCAGCCCCATCTGCTGTCAGAGCATTCTCTCTTCTCTCCTCTCACCCTTTCCAGCTCTACCAGTCCCTTTACATTCATCACATTAAAGAAAACATTTCATGGTCATCTCTTTTATCTCCTTCAGTGAACAGTTAATCAGAAAAAATGCTTTCATGTTGCTAAATCAGGGCCAGTGGGCAAAGCCAGGCTGACAAGAGACATTTTCCTCTGCTACTAACCTGGGCTAAATAGTATTAATTACAGAGGCTGGGCTTTGATTGCTGGAGTGTGGTGGGGCTGGTGGAGTTCCCTCCTCCCCCTCTGCTCCCTCCCACCACAGACCCACACTGCGCCTCCCTACCTGCCTGCCGTTTGCCAGCATCCCCATCTCATGTCACAGCACAGCTGCAAGTGGGACCCCCTAAATCGTCACCTGGGCTGCTCAGATAGTAACTCTGGGAAAGTCAGGTCCCTGGACTGGAGGACAATCCTGTTGGGAAGTTGGGATGTCCCTGTCCTTGCATCCCCCATGCTTGTCTGCCCAGGGCAATGTCTTTTCCAGGACAGAAACTGCTTCTTTTTATGTGTTTCAAAGAACCTGAGTTCTGGGAGGCAACTCAGTAGACATCACCCCACACAGTGTTTCTCAGCCTGTGGTCTGTGGGCCACAAATGGTCTGTCAGATGTCAAAGGAACTGCAAAAGGACTGCAGACAATTTCTTGGGACAGACATCCATCCTCACATATGCCACAAAGGAGCAAAGACAACAGGGCAGTGGAAGCAGAAGGCAAATTGAGGACAATGTGCTGGAACTCAGTCCTCCATGGGGCAGTCCAAAGGTGTTTATTGCTCTTTCAAATAAAGAAATAAAAAATCGGCCAGACTAGCCCCACAGACACAAGAGGCCCATCTCTGCACATCTCCAAGGACATTATGGAGGAAATAACACTGTGCCCCAATCTGTGTTGGTAATACTATCCCCCACGTCTCCCAGGTGGAAGGCAACAACCTTCCATCAGCAAACAACTGGTTACCAATTCTGCTGAATTGTCTTCCCACAAATTAGCAAAACAGGCCAAATCCCCAGACAAAATGAATCACAGCTGAAGCATTCTATTTTTTAGAGGTAGAATGCCACTAACTTCTCTCCCCATCCCTCTCTGAGCTGAGCAGGACTTTACAAAAGTGACCACAGAAGGAATTTTCAGGGCAGTCGCTCTCTCTTTCAGAGACCTTCCCTTGGGATGGGTGGCACAGTTTGAGGCCTGAGTCAAGCTGTGGTTTGAGCTGATTAAGGTGACTGTCTCTGGTGACCCATGGTGCCAAACCCTGACCCCATGCAGCTCATGGGTAGCATAATGGGAGCACAGGACTCCAGAAAAAAGGCGCCTCCAGAGTCACTAAAAAACACATCTGGAGAAGCCAGACAGGACAATATTTTAAAATACTTTTTTATTTGTTTTGAATGTTTGTTTCTGTGTATGAAGACTTGTTTCTCCAGCCAGTGTGAGCTGGAGTGTGAGCCCAACTGGATGACTTTTGAAAGCTGAGGTTCCACATTTCCCTCCTGATACTGAAGACCCTATGTCCTTCCTCCTCCTCCTCCTCTTTCTCTTCCTCCTCCTCCTCCTCTGTGTTGCATCTGATTTCCACAGGCTCACCCTGCCTTCCTAAGTCAATGCTTTGCTCTACCCTTCACAAGCACAGAGGGAAGCAGAAGAGGTAGATCTGGTCCATTTTTCCCCAGTCCACACTCTGACCTTCTATATGTTCTTCTCAAGGACACACAGATCTGGTTTTCCCAGACAGCAATAACAGGTTGGAGTCTCCACCTGGGCAAATCAGCATAAGGCCTTGGAGGTCTGCCAGCATGGTCCAGCCTCTTAGACATGTTTCCTCTGAAAAGCAGAAAATAGGAGATTTTGGAAAACCCAACAACTAAATCAGATAAAACTTGATATAGCAGTAGATTGCATGGATCCAGATGCTCAGGACAAGTTTACTCCAAGTTTTTTGGGAACAGGGCCATTTGGACTACCTGGATCTCTAGGGCAAAAGACCTTTAGCCTTGTCAATAGCTTCATTCCCACCTTCAAATTACAGTGTAGCACTTAAGAGAATGAAATACTCAAGTAACCCAACTAGGTAGTTGTCCCCATGCTACTCCTCTCTATATTCAAATATGTTTTAAGATGACAGTGTTGTATTTATAGAATACAGGATAGCAGTTACTGTGCAACACCCTGGAAGAGCTGTTGAGGAGGCAGAAATAGGCATTTTGCTGTCTAGGAGGGCAGTACAGAGCCTAGGGGATAAACAGATCCTCAGACAGCAGGCAATAGTAAGGGAAGCTAAGGCTTGAGTGGCCACTGCTGAGTTTAGAGTTAAGAGCCTGTTGATATGAGTGACAGCTCAGAGTCCTCACTGCAGCATAAATTCAGGCTACAAACAATGCAGGGGCTTTTTATATTAACTTCAGATATTTAGGGCCCTCTTCATTGCCAGAAAGATGAGAAACTTTTTTTTTTTTTTTTTTAACAATAAAAATACAGGAGATAAGAACAGCCTGGATCAAATTAAGCCTCCATCTCGCCCAAAGTTTTCTGGCAGGCCAGCTTTTGGTTGCTTCTGAGAGAAAAGCAAGAAGCTTTGCATCAGTGGGATAATGTGCTTCCAAAAGAGTTTCTTCCTCAGAAGTTGTCTCTCTTGCTTAGAAGTTGTCTTCTGCCTTGAGGCAGGGTGTTTTCTGTCCAAAGCTACTTGATTTGACTTTGTTCTTTGTTTATTTTCAGCTCTGCAGGCTGTCACTGTGAATAATGGGTCTTTGGTGCTGGAACACAATTCTCAGATGAATATTGTCTTCCATGGTAAATTCCAGGGCTGCTCAATTGCAGAATAAATCTTACCTTCACAGAGGGGGTGGCTGGTGCCTTTGGAGATGGGACAGGGTGCCTGTACAGCACCTCCCTGTCCATGCACAGAAGGTCATAACTCCTTGCTGAAGTTCTGCCTACAAGGGCCAGACCCTCCTCCAGCATGAGCTATAAGCTGGGCTTGCCTCAAGCTCTCCTGAGCTCCACACTTGGGAATCTGCTGCCACATGGTGGCATACACTCTCTCTTCCTGGCCCTAGGAATCCTTGGCTTCCAAGAGGTAGCACATGTGGAAAGAGCACTTCTGAGCTCTGCATTGCAACTAGCTCACTAAGTTTCCAGGGACCCATTCCAGAGCTGCTAGAAGCTTTTCCAAGAGCACTGTTTCCTGTTTGAAGCAACACAAAAGTACGAGGAATGCTGGCAAAAAATCTGAGAGGATCTCACGTGCTTTGGGGTCAGCAGGTAGGATTTGTTAGTGAAAGACCTTTACCTAACCTAAAAACACTACAAGTATTTCCGCAAAGCAGACCAAAGCCTGCATCCGTCTCCTTTATTTTCTGCTCTGCAGCAGATGTGAAGGCAGCACCAGGCAGGAAATGAAACTATAGGGATCATTCCTGTTCCTGACAAAGACTGAAAAGCAGAAAGGTGATTGTCACAGGAGCTAGCGGAGAGCATCACTTGCTCTGTCTGTGTGCAGCACTTTCAGTTTTCAAGGCTGTGTTTCACTCCTTGAGGCCACAGGTTGATTTGTCCTGGGTCAGGCAAGTGTGTGCTAGAGAGGATGCATTTGCAAGGCAGCTGCTCCAAACAAGGCTGCTTCCTTTCAGAAGGGTGGTGGCACCTGTGGTTGTGGAAAATCCATGGGAAGTGCCCTGGGGCCACTTTTGCACTGGAGGCTGTGAGGCAGCACGCTCAGAGCCTGCTGTTCACACGGTGCTCTGTGTACAGTGCTGGAGATGGCAGCTTTGCATGGCAGGCTTGGCTGGCTGGGAGATGCAAGGAGCCATCCAGCCAAAGAGGGAGGGTGGCAGAGCAAGGCTCCTGCCCAAAGGGTCACCTCAGTAGAATCACTTAGTTTGAAAGAACTTTGGGGAACTGGACCCAAACCAATAACGCCTGGAGGCTGCAACAGAAAGACTGATGCCTGGCATTGACAGCGTTCCTGCTCACCTCCACATCAAGACAAAGTTTATGTCCATCCAGCAGCAGCTCCTGGATACAAGAAAAACAGAGATGCTGTGAAAATGGTGAGTTGCCATGGACCTTCCTCCCATCCCACCACAGCCCATACCCAGTGGTAAAAGGTGCACCCATTCTTCTAGCTTCACTTGTAGTGAAGTAGTGGTCTGGCAGTGAAAATAATGCAGGGAGAAACACAGGATAGGCACAGTGACACTGGGAGCAGTAAAGCACGAGAAAATAAGGATGGGGAGGTGTGGCCCCTAGGAGCACTGTCCAAGAAGCAGAATGGAGAGGGTAAAAGGAATAAAGGTGCTGTGGGCAACATATTAGGAAACTCTGTGCTGTGATGGGATCTTTGTGTTGGCAGGACACTGGTGCCCAGAGGCACTGAGTACTCAGGCCATCAGAGCAGGGACTGGAAGGACCATCTCTCCTGCAAGCCTAGTAGATACCTTCATGACACATCACAGAGCTGCCCCACCTTCTGCTTCTGCTGTTCCTCAGCTAGCTGAGCTGTGGGAGAGGAAGGGATGGCCAAGGAAGGGGATTTTGCAAATGTTGGGACAAAATAGGCAACAAAGTTCTTATAAGCTCAGCCACTCTCATTCCATATGGTTTGATGTGGTATGGCAGTACAGGCAGGTAAGAGGGAGGATTTAAGATTACCAGTATCCAGCTGTGGAGCATGCAGGCACCCAGGAAGAGTCCTGGGACCAAACCATGACCAATATGGCAGCAGTCAGACCACTTATTATTGTCGGCTATGCCTCTCTTCCTCTCTTCATGGAGATAGGCTAGCCCACTACCCCAGATCCTCTGTCCTCATTGCTGCTCTCTGCTCTTGCCTGCTGCATTTTGTTTCATGGAAAAGGATTCACTATGTGGGGCATAGGCCATGTGTGCCCTGGGAGACCTCAGACGCCAGGGTAACCCACCTGGGTGATTAACAGTGGTGGAAGGTGCTGCAGAAGTGCTCGGGTTGATTCCCCACAGAGGCACTGTGTGAACAGGCAAACACATCAAAGGGTGTCTCCCTTTCATCCCACTGCTCCAAGCAGACGGGCCGAAGCATCCCTTCCAAGGACAATATGGGGGAGAACTCTAATAACCTCACAGAGTGGAGCCGTGCCAGCGCTCCCAGCGGCCGCTCTGGCGGCAGCTAAAGGGGCGCCTTCTCCGCTTCCACCCTAATTGCCCTTAATTGGCTCCTGCCTGCTGGCAGCAGAACAACAAGGGCTCTCCAAGGATCACTGCACAAGAGTGACAACGTTTGGAGAAGGATTGTTGGCCCCTGCCTTGCCCCCCCTCCATCACACTCTTCCCCACCCACCAGAGAAATACAATAACCCTAACAAGTAGAATTCTCTGTTAGTACATACCTTTTTCCTTCTAGGCCGTGCTATGGCGGGGGCCTTGCCAGGGAGCTGGGGCAGGGGGCAGGGCAGGATCTGTGTCCTGAACCCAGAGGAGGGGGTGTGTGGTGGCCTTGGGCAAAGGGGGATATAAGCATTGTCCCTTCATACAGCACTGTGGCCACAATGTCCAACAGCACACACAAGTGCAGTGAGCCCTGCTGCTCTGCTGTGTGCCAGGGTGTCCTGGGCAGGTGACCAGGGCTTTGAGGTACCCCATTGCAGAACCCGGACACCAGGGGATTCAGCCTACAAAATCCCAATTTCCCTAGAGAGAGGTGCTGCTGTCCCAGGGCAGCCAGGTGGGAATGGGGCTGCATCCCAGTGTGATCTCCTGACTACGGCCTGCACTGTTATCTTGGAGATGTGGACATGTAGTAGGGAGGGCTCCTCTCTGTCCCTACTCCCCGTTCCAGTGCTAGGTGAGGGCACACAAAGTAGAAGGTCCCCAAAACACCCCTTCCCTAGGAAGGGCTCTCCAGGAATGGCCCTTGGCTCATCTGACTACAGTTCCCTGTGGCAGCCCACCCTGCACTTTCCCCTCTCTGCCTGACACTCACACAAGCCATCACCTCATGTTAACAGAAGGATGGGAAACCACAACACAAAAAGCACCTTTTAGCTCTGACCAGGCACGTCTTCATCCGACTGCCTCCCTGCTCCTGCTTCCAGCCAGGACAAACCCTTGTTGAAGCAGCAAAATGGAGCCAAGCATCTTCCCAGTCCCTCATGGTTGCCCACAGCCCAGACAGGGCCAGTATCTGCTGGCAGCAGCCATCACATGAGCAGCATATTCCACAGCAAGCTGGCAGGGGCATGGAAGTGCAAAACAGGACACAAATTCAATTCTGATGGAGGGAGCTGCAATGTCTTTCCCACTGAGGTTATTTTTAAACTGTTTATCAAAGGCTCACTGCTCTTGGCAGCAGAGTGGGCTATTTTTGGATGCCTGCTTCACCTCTGCACAGAGATATGCGGGCAAAGGCTTGCCCTTCTTTGCCTGGCACCCTCAGACCTCCCGTGGTCTCTGAGGTTTGCCCTGCTATGGTCACTGCTGTTTGCTTCCTCACACATCGAGGGACTTTTTAAGCAGGAGGTCTGAGCTGAGGAACAGCCTCATTATGAGTCTTTGTTAACAAAGCCCCTCATCTTTAGTGGTGACACCGCTGCTTGGGTATGGGCAAAACACACACTTGTGCCTACTGTTCTCCTTCAGGATTGGGGAATTTGTCCTGACCTAAGCCTGGCACCCTTAAGCTTTGTATTCAAGTTTTTTTTTTCTCTGCTCTTGGTTTTCCACTTGTTGCTGCCACATCTCTTTGCCCATCTAGAGGAGCAAGGCCATGTTTCCGTACTCCCTGGGATTGCTGGGACAATTAATTGGGACAGGATGACTGAAAACTCAGCACTGTCCTCACAGGGCCTCTCCTCTATGAATGGGTGAAGGACATGACAAGTTTCACTGAGGTGCAATATTGGCAAAGGTGGTCTGGTGAGGCAGGGCTCAAAGCAAGTGCGGGGAGGCAACAGGGATGCGTAGAAGCGCAGTAGCTGAGTGTTGGACTCAGTGAAAGCACAGACTGGAATGGGAATGCAAAGCAAGCCATCAGGCTCTAAGGTTAATAATAGGCTGTCTGAGTGTTGACTGTGTAAAAGAAAATCAGTCCTTAAAAGAAGCTCACTGGCAGAGTGCTTAGCCCTAACAGAATTATCCACAGGAGCCCAAACAAATGACTGGCCTCATTACCAACCCGCAGCCTCAGGCATGCCTTGAGACACGCTGGGCTCTCATAAAGAAATCAGCACTGTCCACACTGCCCCTGCAGCACCAGAGAAAAGGACTTGGAGAAGTTTCCCAAGAACATCAATAAATTTAGGGATTTCCTTTTGTTAGCAAAGCCCAAACCTTCTGCTGAAGGAAGATTTTTCTTCATTCAAATATGATTTTGGAGAGCCAAAGGTATGTGCAGGCCAAGAGATTCTCCTCCAGGAATGAGACCAGAAGAAAAGCAGTGCTGGTATGTGCAAGGTTTGTACTCATTTGTGAGATCTGTACTCAAAGAAAAATTATGTGTCTTTTCTTACAGGAAGTGACTGGATGAAAAGGTGAAAAACAATTATTTGGGCTGGTTAGAAAGGTTCAAGCTATATAAGCACACCTAATTGTACTCTCCAGCCCTGAGAGATAATGGACAGACTTCTCTGAAATGAGAGACTGGCTCAGGCATAGGAGAAAATGAGCTGGAGCCCATTGTGATCTGTGACATCCACCAGCCAGTCAGCCCTTGTGGCCTCACTGGTCACCATCTCCATGGGCAAGATAGTCAGAGGGGACTGGAATTGCTGCCAGATCAACAGCAAAGAGCTCAGGGGAAACATCCTCAGGTAAAGAATCAAGGGACAAATGCCAAGGGAGAAACATGGGTAAGAAAAGGGAGATGCACCTCCACTCTGCAGACACAGAACTATATCCAACAGCACCCACAAGTGCTGGAGTGTGTGTAAGACTGCTGTGGCAGCACAAGGCAGTGTGTCTGGCAAAACAGGCACTCTGATTTCTAAGCAAGTCAGGAATAAAATGGGCAAGGTCACTAAGCAGCTCCTTCAGACACACACCAGGGGAGGTGACAGCAGCATGTGGCTGGCTGTGGGGGCCAGCACTGTAATGTGGCCAGGGCAAGCTGCACAGGGAGCACAAGCTCATGGAGGGAGTCGCGCTGGTGCACTGAGGCTGCTGGCACAACATGTATTGCTGGCATAAGGTCTCACTGAGGCAAGTTGCCCCCTGACATCTGTGGGCATGTTGGATGTCAGCAGACATTCCCATGGTGAGTGAAGGTGATGCCATGGGGTACAGTCAGAAAGACACATTCACCATGAAAGGGTGCAAAGAAAAAAAATCATACCCTTGACCTTTTCTCCCAGTAACAGGGGGAGATTCACTGTGAGCAGTAGGGTGATTGGGAAGTCTAGGGCAGGGACCATGAGAACCTGAGCCTGCCTGGATGAGGGAGAAGTTCACTGTTTCCAGCCAAAGAACTCAAGAGGACAGAGTTTCTGTAAAAAAAATAAATGGAAGGCAAAAATGAAAGCAAAAAATAATGGTATCTTGTGCCATTGCTTGTGGCAGCAGCTCTCTGGCACACAGAGCAACACATAACTTTCCCAGGCCTTTCTGGGAAAGGCTGTGAGAAGATCAGAGAAAAGAATGATAAGCAATTCTTATCTTAACCTGCTGCACCTGTTGTTGTGAATGTGTGGAATGTGTTATAGAGATTTGTTTAGCAAAGGGTGATTTCTTAATTAGCCAATGAGGATCATGTTTTAATTAAAGGACAAATTAGGTTCAAGTGTATAGTAACTGCCCATAAAAGCAATGGGATTATTATGTAATATAATATAATATAATATAATATAATATAATATAATATAATATAATATAATATAATATAATATAATATAATATAATATAATATAATATAATATAATATAATATAATATAATATAATATAATATAATATAATATAATATAATATAATATAATATAATATAATATAATATAATATAATATAATATAATATCATATAATATCATATAATATCATATAATATCATATCATATCATATCATGTCATGTCATGTCATGTCATGTCATGTCATGTCATGTCATGTCATGTCATGTCATGTCATGTCATGTCATGTCATGTCATATATCATATAATAATATATGCAGCCTTCTGTGAATCATGGAGTCAATGCTAATTATTACCGTTTGGGGATGCCTGGCAGCCACAGTTGCTGTAAGCAGGATTCATAGGTTAATGAAAGCAAAACTGAAAGATTCCCCTCAAACCTTGAGTCAGAGCCCACTTGGTTGTCTTCTGCCCTGGGTCACCTACAAAAGAGAAGTGGAGAAAAATGCATCAGAGGGTTTTGCACAGTATGGCCAAGAGTCTTTCTGAGGTCATAACAATACAGGGATAGATTTCCCTGATATCAGTGCAAAGAACTCATGCTGGAAAAGCTGGGGGAAAAGAACATGGTGCAAGGTGGAGGAGAGACAGAGATCTGAAAGAACAGTGGGAAGAGGGACATCATCCTGGATATCACAGGGGACACTAAGAAACAGGAATGCAAGCATCTCCTGTACACTATTAATGTCCAGAAGGGTTCTGGCATGGCCCTTTTAATCCTCTATCCATCATTTGAGTTGACAACATACAGACCCAGCATACAGGCCCCTCATCTGACCATGTTTCTGTCACAGAGCTTCTCATCGCCAGCCACCATTGTGTTTTGTACAATGTCCTGATGGGTCAGCCACCTGTCCCAAAATCCGGGCCAAGCCACCCAGCTCTATGTGCCACAGCAAGACCTTGATGTGACACAGGGAACGAGGGGAAGCAATGACTTAGTCCATGTTGGCAGAGGCCCAGGGGTCCCAGCCCCACCTGGCAGCAGAACGCTTCTGCTTTGGGCAGCGGGGCCTGGGACAAAGACACAAGCGTAGGCAGAGCAGCTGCTTGGAGCACGCTGCCCCCCCCCCCATGGGGGACATGCTCCCTGCCTGGCACAGAGACCGCTCCTCCTTTGTGGTGGGGAACAAAGAGCAGAAGGAGGGAAGGAAGTGACTTCTCTGGAAGCGATTGTGGTGGTGGGATGAGCACCCATCTCTCTCCAAACAGAGCGAGCAGTGATGCCCGACCCTTCTCTCATCCCCTATTGCCTCCTATTCACTGCTGGCATCGCCTCTTTCTGTGCCCTCCGCCTCTCCTTATGCAACAGGACGAGTGGGAGAAAAAGAAGCAAAAAGAAAGCCAGAGCGAGGGAGGGAGGAAGCCGACGGAGCACTGGCTGGCAGGCAGACAAGGAGCCCGGGACACACGGGCTCTGCCAGGGCCTTCTGTGCTGCGGGCATGTACGTGCGGTCAGCAACGCGCGCCCTGCGAGCGGGGCCGTGCCCATGGCCGAGCCGGGCTGGAGCCTCCCTGCCCCAGCCGGGCCACGGGGGCTCCCTGCACAGCCCCATCACCAGCAGCACAGCCCCATCACCGGCAGCACAGCCCCATCACCGGCAGCACAGCCGCTGGGTGACAGCCCGCGTGTCCCCGGCCAGCCCCAAGGACAGCGCGTGCCACCGCGCACATCCCTGCCCGCTGCCACCCAGGCACTCGCAAGTTCCCAAGCGGGCAGGTGTGTGGTTCCATCTCACCGGCCGGCTTGCCAGTTTTGACTTAAGAGGGAGAAATGTTGACCTCCGCTGTCCCAAGGCCGCACACCTCCTCCCGCTGGCCCATGTGCGATGCCGTGCCGGGGATCACGCTGCTGCTGCTGCTGCTGCTCCCTTCTGCTTGTGTCAGCAGTTTCACAGCGTTTTCCAGCCTGGAACAGCTCCCACAGAGCACCAAAGCTCTTTCCCTCCGCTCAACCCCCTGCATCCTGGCCACCTCCTGCACCCCTCTTTGGGAGTGTCCTGAAAGGAAGTCTCACTTGTAGTCCCCACTCAAAAATGCCTCCTCAAATCACCCAACATTCATATTCCACACTCACACACAATTTCCCCTATATGGGAAGGGAAGGGAAGGGAAGGGAAGGGAAGGGAAGGGAAGGGAAGGGAAGGGAAGGGAAGGGAAGGGAAGGGAAGGGAAGGGAAGGGAAGGGAAGGGAAGGGAAGGGAAGGGAAGGGAAGGGAAGGGAAGGGAAGGGAAGGGAAGGGAAGGGAAGGGAAGGGAAGGGAAGGGAAGGGAAGGGAAGGGAAGGGAAGGGAAGGGAAGGGAAGGGAAGGGAAGGGAAGGGAAGGGAAGGGAAGGGAAGGGAAGGGAAGGGAAGGGAAGGGAAGGGAAGGGAAGGGAAGGGAAGGGAAGGGAAGGGAAGGGAAGGGAAGGGAAGGGAAGGGACTGACACAGAGGAGCATTTCAGAAGACATGGTTTCTTTGCATGCACCTCTGTGCATTATGTTACAGGCCAACTGGGAGTTAAGTCTTAGTCTCCTTCTTTTCCTCATCTTCTGAAAATGGATGAGGTTTCCAGATATTTTGGAGACTGTTGGTGTGCTGCACCCCTGAGTCAGCAGCTGTCAGTAACGGTTCCACACACGTGGGTGACACTGCTGGGATCAGAAAGTCCCTGGAATATCACACACCGGACAATAGGCACATAGTGACTTGATTAGTCAAGCCCACCCTTGGCACGACTAGGAATATACCAAGGCCACAACCAAGGTGTCCCTGTGACCTGGAGAGCACTTAGCGCTTCTGCTCTCCAGGGAGGTGACAACAGTGTAGCTATGCAGGGATAGAACCCACAGCAGCTCCTGTACGACTCTGCTGCCAGGGCCTGTCAGCTGTGTTTCTCTGCCATTTGCATCTCCATCTGCACACTTTTGGGATATCCAACCCAAACAACTGCTCCTCAGAGGAGACAGGCTTAATCAGCTGAGATCCTCTCGGAAAGATATTAATCGTGCAGCAGACAAACCCAAGGGGAAGCAGTAGCATATGGACTTGGGGGTAGCTGGTGCCTTTTCAGGGTACTGAGATGCTCCTGGGCAGCAAATTACCTCCCTTGCTGGGTGTCACTTGCAGACCAGCCCAGTGGGTATTGTCACAGAGCCCTGGCTCTTTGCCAGGGAAAACACAAAAGACTGTGGGCAGGGAGAGGCAAATGTCATGGGTAGGCAGGAACACCGGCTTCTGAGCTCACATCAATCATACTTGTAAATATTTTATTCATTTCTCAGTTACTCACTGTAGAAGGCTACTATGCAGCCTCTGGCTATCAGAGAGCAAAAGCATTTAAGAGCATTAAGTCTATAAGCAGGCCTGACACATAAAAAACTGCTGTGTGAAGGCAGCACTTTTCAACTTTTGTGTCCTCACCGTGGCTTTCTAGCCCAGCCCCGAGGCCCTGGTTCTGCCCCTACCCTTCACCCCTGCCCTGAAGCATGCCTGACTGCCACCTAACACATCATGTATACAGCAGATTTATAATTTGTACTTCTAGTCACGGCAAAGTAAGGGTGCCAAATAATAACCCAGGTTTCTTGAAGCAGATGTGTCTGTAAAATGTGAAAAAGCTAGACTGGCGATGGGCTGCCTCCACATTCCCTTCAATGGAGGCAAATGAGGCAGATCTAGTCACATTCTTCATTCACTGCATCCTGCAAACTGCCTTTACAGTGCTCAGTGAGGAAGAGCAAGCCTTTGATCCAGGTAGCCCAAGCAGAGCAGCTAAGATGGACAAACATGCAAACAAGGTCCAAGCTCCTGGGTCCAAACCAGCTCTGGAGAGTGCCACAAATGGGGGCTGTTAAGTTCTGTTCTTCTTCTGTTGGCCAAGGCATGGCAAGGTCCAACATAAGCGTGTTGGACTTCATTCCAGACTACTGGGCACAGTGCTGGGGTGACCTGGCAACCTCTCTGCCACCATGGAAGCAAGCAGGTCACTGTGGAAGTGGAAAAAGAGGGGTCAAGAAGTAGAAGGTGGGAAACTGGGATGAGTAGAAAGCAGGTATGAAAAGTGTAGGAAGTGGTGTGGTCAGATAAGGGAAGGGGCAGAAAGAAGAAGACAAGCTAAGGGATAAATTGAAAGGACCAGAAGGGAAGAGGTTGTTAAAGAGAATTACAGGTGTTGTTTTAACTGAGAATTATCTGGACCAGAGACTCCCTCCACGGTTGCCCAACCTCTAGGCCTGGATCCCAAATGAGCAACAAATTAACAGATGAGAGAATTTAAAACAGATCTTAGGAGGGAGATGAATGAGTGGGAATTACCAGCATTCAGAAAACTGGTGGAGACATCCAGACCCAGCGAGGCAAATATAGAAAGAAGCTGGAAATGCAAACACAGCCAGGTGTATGCACTGAAATCCCTAACACGTGGGGGATAAGCAAAGGAAATGATGAAGCTGAGCTGGCACACGGGGAAACAGCCTAGCCCCACCATGTGCCACCAGTGCTGCTTCAGAGCAGCTTAGCCCTGGAGCACTCCGTTAGGGAAATGTCATTCTGGAAATAGTCTAGTTGGTGGTGAGATCATTCATTCTTCTCAGCTGGAAACCTGACCCTGTTGCCAAACTTATTTTCCAGGCTAGAAGCTGATGCTCATGGAAAACTTTGGCCCTGGGGCCCAAATAGAGATCCTGAGTTTGTCAGTGCCAGTGCTCAGCACCCTGGCAGTCGGCACAGCCATCTCAGAAGTGTCTCTGGCCACACTGGAGCTGAGTTAGTGGCTCAGGTGGGGAAGATGAGCACAGCCAGCATAATGTGGTGGCAAGTCACACTCCACACACTGTCACCAGCTCCCAGGAAGCCATGTGCTGGCTAAATTTGGGTTGGCATGGAGTACTCAATGCATGATCTTCAAAGAGCTTTTACAGAGGCAAAAGCCTGTTAGTAAGTGGCAAGGGTGTAAGAGGGCTCAAATACCTGGTTTGATATTAGGTACCCTAGCTGCTATTAAAGGGAGTTAATTTGTCCTGGATCTCTGGCAGCAGGAGGAGACATGTTTAGAAGACTTTTCTGGCTCCAAGCATCACATGAATGAGTGTGGATATGTCAAACTCTTTCAGTTGTGGCTTTTGTCACAAAGTCATGACTGCCAAACCACCATCCTACATCAGAGGTTTTGGGCAACTCACACCGTGCCACACCAGGGAAGTGAGCCATTGCATTGGCAGGGCACTCCCCCCAGCCCAGCTCTGTGCTACCTGCTGTCCGTGCTGCTTCAGCTGCTTTTCCATAAGCAGTTGGCCTCAATCCAAAGAAAACAGCAGCAGTGGTGCCGTGTCAGGGCAAATGTCTGTGGGAAAGCCAGGCCTGCCATGGGCAAGCAGTCTTCATGGAGCTCAGGGGGAGGCTGGGCATGCTCCAGGCCCTGTGCCTAATATTTGCTGTG